TATTTTTTTTTAAACTGGTAATTATATATATATATATATTCACTTATATAATGACATATGCAAATTATAAATAAAAATTGCATAAATAAATTCTCTACATATCATTATGATAATTCTCTATTTTATCTTTCTTTATAATGTATTTGAATTGAGAGAAATGGAAAGAAAAAAAGTTCTTTATTTTATTATCAAAAAAATTAAAGGGGAAAAGAGGGAAAAATTTCCTTTTACTTTATTTTTCTTTAATTTAATTACTTATTTAAAATGAGAGAAAAGAAGGGGAGGAGAATGGAAGGAAATGAAAGGATATAAATTCCTTTATTTCCATTCCCCTCAACTTAAATATAGTGTTAAGAATTAGATAAATTGATTCTTCAAATCAAAGTTACATACAAATTACACTCAAGCATTCCCAAAGAGTACATTTATTATATCAACTATTGCAAATAAAACAATTATTACCATTTGTATCATTTTGTTTTCAAAATTTATCTCTTTAATTTCTTCTTTCTCAATTCTCACTCCATTTTTATCATGTTCTCAACCGAAGTTTGTTTTTCTTTTTAATATAGTGAAAGCTATAACAGGAACGAAAATAAGTTCACACGCAATCCTATTTGGACCAAATCGAATCTTATGCTAAGAAGAAGAATAGAATCAAATGGACCCAACTTTTAGTCTTTGGAGGTTGAGGACCTTATTGTTGACTACTTCAAAGATTAGGTACCGCCAGCTACAATTTTACATAAAAACATAGAAGACGAGAACCTACTTCTACAAGGTGATGCCCACTGGCCATTTCTAAGTCGACTAATTAATAATTTTATTAATTTATAATTTTTTAAAAATAATTAGTTATAATATTTATAAATGTTTATTTATAAATTAATTTTATTAAATAATAAATATTAATTATCTTTAATAATAAAATTAAAATAAAAATTTGATAATTTTAATAGTCTAATAAAAATAGCAGTGGCCATAACATATAGCCCTACTTCTACCCACTGAACATTAAAATTCTGATCAAGCAGCAGGAGGATGATGGTCTTGCAGAGTGCAGACTCGGAGTTACATTCTGGGTTAGAAACAGCGTTAAAAGCCACCACCGATTGGTATTATTTTAGAAACATATACTACTAATTACAATTTTAGGGGAACTGGTATTCATCAATGAACACTGATTAATATATTTTTTAATTTAACATATTGTATAATATTTTTATTAAAAAATTATTATTTTTTATGAAATTAAAAATAAATAAATTTAAAAATATAATCATAAATACACATACAAGAATTAGATAAATTAATTATATTTATATTATATTTTAATAATTAAACAAAAGAACTATGAAAATATATAAATAATTTCCCTTCACTAATTGACTCATTACTTAAAATAACCTTATTTGGCTCAACATTAGAAATTTAAATCTCTGGAACGCATGTCGATCCTTTACAAACCAAAAAATACATTGACTAAAATACAAGAAAGGCGTACCTTCATCAGGGTCTGTAGTTGGCTGAGATTGATTTTGAGCATTAGCAACGCAAAGGAGCTGCACCAAGATAGCAAAGGAACCCAGAACCAGGAGATGTCGTGCTGCAGATGATCTCGACATCCTTCGAGGTGATCCTGACGGTCTGTCTGGGTCGGTATATTGCTGAAGAATGAAGGAAGCTGTTGAGCAGAGAAACGGATAATACCTTCTGATGTTTTATGCTGCTATATCTAGGGACGGAGTCATAAATTCAAGTTAGATGGGTGAGAAGTCAAAATTTTTTATAGATTATATATTAGTTTATATTAATATAATTTATAAAAATTTCTACATCGCTCACTGATTCTGAGTATGTATAATTTAAATTGTGTATGTAAAACTTTAAATTAACTAGATATATTTAATTTTATTAATAAAATTAAATATATTTAATTATTTTTAAATAATATATACTTTAAAGTACTTAAATAAATAATATAAAAATATCATTTATTGTTTTGAATGGTTGCCTATATCAAAATAACTATAAATTTTAAATGTATTATTTATGTAAATAGAATAAATTCAACCATTATTTTCACATAATATAAATTGTAAAAAAAATTATATATAACTAATGTAAAAATTATATATAACTAATGTAAAAATTTATATAAGTTGCATTAATATAATTAATTAGATTTTGATTATTTTTAATATTTTTTCTTACTTAGACTAAATTATTATATCTTAAAAATTAATCATAGAGAGAAAGAAATGATTCCTTTACCTAAATTTTAAACGTTTCCTTTATATTTGAAATGGTTCCAATAATTCAAAAAAAATTTTAAAAATTAAAAAAAATAAAAATTAGTGTACCATATTTGAAATTTTTCAAAAGCTCAGGGGGGCTCCCCGGGTATATACCTGGAGACATATACATGGGGAGTGGGGACAGCCGACAGTAATAGTAGATGTGACCCAACAGCACTTCGAATTGACTTTTTGCTGTATTAAAGATGACTTTGAATCTTTTGATGACGTCTAGCTTTGCTCAGCTATTGCTTCAGGCGCCTCCATGTATATTTATATATATATATTGTAGAACAATAATATACAGATATTTTTCTTTATAATTTTTATTTACGTGTCAATATTCAATAACCCTTCATTTTGTTTAAGATTTCATCATAGATTTTTTTAACAGAGACATTATTTAAGAATACAAGTTTATTATTTAAATTTATTTTTATATATTTTTATTAATTTTAATTAATATTTTATATATTTTTAAAATAATGAAAAATATAACTGTAGCAGAACACAATACAAATAAAAAAAATTTAAGGAAACAGATGAGAGAGAGGGACTTGGGGGATACAATACTTCAATTTCCCTCTCATTCCCTCATTTAAATACTAAAATGGAATTAAAAAAATTAAAGTAAAATCTTCCCCTCCTCTCTTTGAAATAAGTGTATGTAGCATAAATACAGCTACACTCAAGTTCAATACAGAAATTTAGGAAAAATTTAGAGAAAATTCATTATTTTTTAAAATTTAACACACAATTTAGAACTTAAATCTATTTATCATTAAAAAATTAAACTCAATTAAATAATTAATAGTAGGTTAAACCTCTGCTTTGATCCCTCAACTACTATACAGACCCCTAAATTGATTAATTAACTAAAAAAATCCATGATTTCATTCCTAAAATTTTCAAATTTAGTTTCAACTTGATCATTCTATTAAAAATTAACCAACGTGTCTATTAATTGATGATATAAGGTTGTTATTTGATGGCCACATATTACATTACTAACAAAAACACATTAGTCGTTTTTTAATAAAGGAACCAACTTGAAAATAAATTTAAAAACTTTAGGAACCAAAACAAGGTTTTTTAGTTTAGGAACTAACTCAAGAATTTGTACAATAGTTGAGAAACCAAATTGTAGGTTTAACCTTAACAATAAATAATGAAAAATATGTATAAAAAAATAAAATAATAAAATAAATTAAATAACAGAATGAAAGTCCATCAAATAATATATTCAGGTTCTTGGACTCATATTCTCTCTAATCATTTGCTTTGATTTATTAGAAAGGGATATTGGTTGATGGTATTATATTTATTTTAACATTTTAATGTGTACACTTTTAACTTATGATATTTATCATATTAAATTTAAAATTTAAAGTTAATATATATATATATACACAACAAACAAAGACTATGCCTAAAAAATTACTAATAGAATAGTAAAAAAAAGTTTAAAAAAAATCAAAATTTGAAGTTATAAATATTCACTTTTGCCTAAAAATGCAAAGAAAGGAAAAAATTATTGGTTAAATTATGATATATGTTTTGTTTAAGATTTATTATTTATAAGTTGTGCGTGATTTCCTTTACTTTATTTTTGTATTTTATTATTTTTTTAAAAAATCATTATTATAAAAATATTAAGTATAATAAGTATATATATAATTTTAATTATATAAATATAGATAATATGTTAATTAAATTAAAT